GCTTAGTTTCAATTGAAAACGATCATCCATGGATAATCAACACTTAAACGATACCCAATTCCATGGCGTTCACGTGGCACCACAATCGATGAAGGTGAACAGAGTTACAGCCCTTACCTCTGTATCACGCCTCCCCGGACCTCTGATTTCCTCTCGTGAGTTGACCTTGCTCCCGCTCTTCATGATCCATGACCCCGTCTTTCTTCTCTCAGGCCCAGCAACTCAATCACTCGGGTGGTGGCGTCAAGGTCGCCATTGAGCGGTTGCAGAACTAGAGAGGCGGCATGTGTGAACTTGAGAGAGGAGAACTGACGATTCTTCTGGGGGAGGGAATAAGGGTAAAGGAACGGCGAAAATAGTTCCTTGCCCCGATAAATAACTCTCTCTAGGAAATTAAGTAACGGCTGCCCAAGAGCCACCCTCACGTGTGGGTTTGGGGTTTTGATTCATGACTATAATTAATAATAATAGTCATTATAATACTTATTTCACGTTTGCAACCTTCCCGTCGGGCAACGATCAAATTGGGCCACGTCAATTATTCAGGCCTTGATCCTTAGCCCGGTTTGGTTTAACTTGTTCGTACGTAACAATTGATTCAACTGTTCATTTATTAGGTCGAACCGGAACCTAAAAGTCGGGGTGTTACATCTACCAAGTCCCTTTCCTTTCAGACGGTGCTGTCCATGAATTCCATTAATTGATTCAGACGCTCATTGATAGTTCCTCTTGTGTTCGCCATTGGTGCCAAGACTTAGCTCTGATACGACCTTATCACACCCTGTAGAAGAAGATTAGTCTCGGTTGTTTGGTAGCTCAGAAAGTGAAAGAAAGTTGAGAGAAAAGAAGGATCGAGAACAGAGAAGCAGGGAGAAAGGAGAGAAAGAGGAAAGGTAGAGAGAGAAGTAAAGTTTGTTATAATTTTATTATGCGTTGAAAAATCTCCAACGCGCCCTTTTGTAACGGTACACTAACAGATTACCAAAAGACCCTAGGTATATCTAAATTGTCTCATTCCCTTATTTGTCTATATTACAATATAGTTGCCACTGTTCTAATCTATTCAATAAGGTCTTAATGTTACAGAAGGTAACTCGATCTCGCCAGCCATGCAAACTGCTATATAGAGGGAAGAAATCCCAAAATACACATATTTAAAAAAAAAATTCAAAATACACACGTTTTATGAAAAATTCCCAAAATACACATGTTTGGGCATCACTGCGGTCGTCAACCTTAGTGAATGCATTCGTCGTAGCAGACGAAACCGGTGAATGTATAATCGCGGTTGACGGCCGCGGTAAATGCCTAACCTAAGACTGAAACTTCAAACAAACGTAACTTTGTCCTCGATTATCTGATTGTAGCGAGTTTTTTTTTATTCCACATAACTTTTCAAGATCTTTCAATCTGCAACATGCATTCATCCCAAAAAAATGTCGTTTGCTACCCAAAACGAGCAATTTTTCGATTTCAACAAACTTTGAAAGACCTTAACTTTGTGCTCCGCAATCCGAATGTCTTGAACTTTTTTGATTTCGCATAACTTATAAAGAACTACAACTTTTATCATAACCATAATTTTGGAAAGTATGTGGATTTGTGAAAAGTAAAGGAAAAGTTTTTACCAAAATCCCGTATACCCAAAAAAACAAAAATTTAATTCTTTCTATAGTTAAAGTTGTAGTTCTTAAAAAGGTATGCGCAAAAAAAAAACAATTGATGACTTTCGAATTGAGGAGAAAAAAGTTATAGCCTTCCAAAGTTTTGAAAAATCGAAAAATTGCTCGTTCCGGTAAGCAAACGACATTTTTTGGAATGAAGGCTTGTTGTAGATTGACAGATCTTGAAAAATTATGCGGAATCAAAAAATATCCGCTACAATAGGATAACCGAGCGCAAAGTTATGTTCGTTTTAAGTTTCAGTGTTAGGTCAAACATTCACCGCGGCCGACAACCATAGTGATACATTTACCCCTTTCGTCTGCCGCGGTGAATGCGTTCATTGCCTTTTACGGCCGCAGTAATGCCCAAATATATGTATTTTGTGAATTTTTCATAAAATGTTTGCATGTTGAAAAAGAATTTTAAAAATATTCGTATTTTGGGATTTTTTTCCCAATAGAGAGACTAGCGAGGACAGCAAAATAAAAAATAAAAACGATACTGGGAGAACAGATATTGTAATAACTCCATTCACGTCTCTGACATGGGGAGTTGGAAATTAAATTGGAGGGACATGAGGAGCTGGCAATGGTGTCGGTGCACCCTCCCTATCATGAACCCTTCTCTTCAGTTCAATAAATTAACGATCCTTCTTCCCCCGATCGCCCGTAAATTGCACCATCAAAGCCATTCCTCCCAACCTCAATACCTCCCATCAGTACTGCTAACTCTCAAGACTAGAAGTTCATCCCATCATCATCAAGCTCACTCCCTCCTTCCGTCCGCCAACCTCTAGCTCATCGTCGCCGTCATCGTCATCACCGGAGGAGGAAGGTGCGACCCATAGCTACCAACTTCATATCTCCCATTCTCTCTCAACCAGTAGGTAAGCAAAACGAATCCCCTCGCCATTCAAGCTTCAAGGCTACATAACTAACAAACAAATGGTCTTTCTATGGCGTAGCTTCGGCGGCGAAAGAGCGGGGTGACCAAACGACGATTCAAACAAGGAACTGAGGTCCTAAGGCTTCCTAGCTAGGCCTAGACTCGTATTAAAGGTAAGGAAGCTCAATCCCTCTCGCTAAAGCACCATTTATGCGAGTTATGTGACTTTGTAGAAATCTGGGAACTTAGTGACGGAATTCCAGGTCTTTAGCAACGGTTATGTGGTCGTCGCTAAAGGCCAGTCAGTGAGTAGAACTACCAGACCTTTTGAGACGGATAGCAGGGGTATTTCGTGATGACTCAATACCCGTCACTAAAAGAGCTGTAGGTTAATAAGTATGAATTATGTATATTTATTTAGTCTTTGATTAAATAGGTATCTTAGTAGTGGATGGACTAAGATAATTAATAATAACTAAAAGTTGATAAAATAGTTTAGTTGAGTTAATTAAGTACTTGATCCAATAACATGATTAAAAAGGCTAGATACTAGGATACATGAAGTAATCGTGGTGATTAAGAGATGTCCATGGTCTTTATCAATTAATGATTTGTGTAATTACTTGATAAATAGTAACTAGTTAACACGTGAGATCTTTGGGGTAAGTTGATAGATGGAATTATTATGTCAATAAAGCATTCTAGTTATAACCGACTCACTATTTGGCTAAACACAAGAGTTTAATTCCTTAATTTATAGCTCTTTCTCTCATAAACGGTAATGGAATAAGTTAGTAGTGAAGTAGAGGACGTACTAGTTGATTCATTTGATTAATATACACTAGAACATTACTTTTGAATAACTGCACAAGTTATATTTTAGCACGATTAGTTTTCAAATATTTAAATTAACTAAGGCTGCAAGGGTAATAGATTTAAAGAGTTATGATCCTAGTGTGATAATTAATTGGTATATTAGTATATCATACTTTGCACATCTTGCAAAATAGCTCCAAGTCGAGAAACCCGTCGCTAAGAACCCGAATCAAACCGATCTAACCTCTATTTTCGCCATAGGATCAAGAGGCGATCACCCAAGTGAAGGGTACCAATCTTCAAGTTGTAAGCGTCTTGAGTTAATAAGGTGCGTGGTTTAAGGGGGCTAGTTAGTATTCCATTCAGAATTATTTATTACGCATGTTATTCGAGTTAATCGGTATGCCTTATACGATATTTATGTGTCGAGTTATGCGTTTATGAGATTCATGTCCAAGTTTATAAGCAAGTAAGAACATGTTTTAAACCTCACTTAGCTAGCCGCACACGGTCACCTCATGTTATGATGAAGGAGGTTACGAACCCTACTCCTGGGTAATAAGGAGGTTACGAACCCCACTCCTGGGTAATAAGGAGGTTACGAACCCTACTCCTGGGTAATAAGATCATGTTTAAGTATTTCAGTGATCGTGGTGGCGTGCTAGTTAAGTTGAGCTCGGGGCCCCTTTTCGTAAAGAATGTCTATTTCAAGAAAATCATTTACAAGTCCAGTAAATATTTTATGCATGAACATTTGCAACCACTTGCATTTTGCTTCGTTTTATATATATTATGTAAAGAATGGAATTAGGATTAGGACTGACCCCAACGCCCGCATTCTGGAGCTGCTGGAAACCAGGAGCTTGTAGACCACCCACAGGTGCACAGTTGCTGTTCAGGATGTCATCAGAGGGGTTAGTGGCTAAGGAAGCTTCACGAAGAACTTTATGTTTATGCATTGTTCGTTAGTGGACTTGAGACGGATGTTCGCTTTTCCGGATTAAGAATGTGTTTCCCTTTTAAATTCATATTTGATTGATGTGATATTTCTACCGTACTTTTCATATTGAACATTTTATGGTTATCAAGGATGTTTTGATAAATTATGTGACCGGCCGGTCTAGGGTGTTACATTTTGGTATCAGAGCCGGTTTCCCTTTGTCTTCACTTTTAAGTGTGATACTGGGAAGTCGGTCTCCATGTTTTTAACAAGCTCGGAATGTTTTAAAAACTTTTTAACAAAGTTTTCATGGAAGCCAAAATTGTTTTAGAACATCCAGTCTCGTCTACTAATAAGCACGATGTCTTCAAGATTCTGACGAAAGTCATTGCCCTCATGTAGGAGTATGAATATGGGAGGCGCTCCGCAAGGTGGTGGTCGACGCCCACCTCCAAATTATGTCGCACTCAGAAAAATGGGAGTCGTTGACTTTGAGGGATCTTCTGACCCCGAGGTGGTTGATGCGTGGCTTTTGAAGCTCACCCGAACCCTAGATGAGCTTCGTATCGACAATGATGAGGATAGGATTGCCATGGCGGTACACGTACTCCAGGGGACAGCAAGAGATTGGTGGCACCTCCAACCAGAAAGTGAAGAAGTACCTCTAGCAATCACCTGGAATCGATTCATAAAGATGTTTCTTGATGAGTATATCCCCGACTCCATTCGAGATGACAAGAGAGAGGAGTTCATGAAATTGAAGCAGGAGTGGGGGCAGACTGTCGCTGAATACACTGAGCAATTTAAGAAGTTGTGCAAATATGCTGATCCCGCATACCGAACAGCGATAGGGATGCGAGATCGCTATATTCGAGGCTTGAAAGCAGAAATTAAGAAATGTATGGGAGAAGCGGAGAGGATATCTCAATCCATAGCTTATCGGGCTGCCCTTCGCATCGAGAAGGATGAGAAGATGGCTCAGGAAGAGAGGGCTGCTAGATTCGATGTTCGAAGAGGAAAGAGTCCACCTACTCGGGGAGCCAGACTCTCTCAACTCACCCTTCTAAGAGAGGACCTGGTTCTACCCTCCAGCTGCCTTCCCATAGCAAGGCAGGCTCTAACAGGAGTGCACCCACGCAGTACCAGACACAGTACCCGCTCTGTCAATTTTGTGAGAAGCATCATCCGGGGGAGTGCAGGTTCAAGCTAGGCCTCTGCTTTGGATGTGGTCAGCCGGGGCATAAAAAGGCCAATTGTCCACGATTCACGGACGAACTATGGCCGTATCTGAGCCTTCGGTTGGTGGAGGAAGGATGCAATCAAGCGGGAGATTCAATGATAGAGCAGCCACCACCAGCAACATCCACAATAATCGTCGCGACCAGAGTCAAATTTCCAAAGCTAGCAGGCAACCCAGACTCTTTGCTATGGGGAGAGAAGAAGCTAACGCAGCCCCAGAGGTTGTGACTGGTATGGTTTATATTCATAACCGTCCTGCTTTTGCCTTGATAGATCCTGGGTCTACGCATTCCTTTGTATCTACTGCTTTTGCTAGAACCTTAGGGATGGTACCTGTACACCTCAATCAGAATATGGGGGTGCGTACACCTGTGGGTGATACGTTGATAGTTAATTCCATAGTCAGAGAGTGCATAGTGGAAGTCGCTGGGTATGAACTGGAGGCAAGCCTTATGTTACTTCCTTTTGATGAATTCGATATCATCTTGGGAATGGATTGGCTATCCAAGCACAGAGCGGTAGTGGATTGTTTCAACAAGGAGGTTCGATTTGACTTGGAAGGAAGAGGAATGGCTGTTTTCAAGGGGATACGTAGGGCCATTCCAGGAAGTTTGATATCTGCAACCACAGCATTCGCACTGATTCAAGATGGGTGTGAAGCTTATTTGGCTCATGTTACTACCACACCGGAAGTGAAGCTCGAAGAGGTGGACATTGTCAAGGAGTTCCCGGATGTGTTTCCAGAAGATCTCCCCGGTTTACCCCCAAGGAGAGAGATCGAGTTTGATATTGAAGTTGTACCGGGTACTGCACCAACTTCGATACCACCATACCGAATGGCGCCAGTAGAACTGAAGGAGTTGAAGGAGCAATTGCAAGAACTACTGGACAAAGGTTTCATTCGCCCTAGTATCTCTCCATGGGGAGCCCCGGTGCTATTTGTCAAGAAGAAAGATGGCAGTATGCGGATGTGTATCGACTACAGGAGGCTAAATAAGGCAACGGTGAAGAACCGATATCCATTACCCAGGATAGACGACTTGTTTGATCAACTTCAGGGTGCCTCTGTGTTCTCTAAGATTGATCTAAGGTTGGGGTACCACCAGTTGCGGGTGGCTGAATCCTCTATCCCAAAGACAGCCTTTCGTACTCGATATGGCCACTACGAATTCTTGGTAATGCCTTTTGGATTGACCAATGCACCGGCAGCATTCATGGCACTAATGAACAACATATTCCATGAGTACTTGGATAAGTTTGTCATTGTATTCATTGATGACATTCTAATCTACTCGAAGAACTATGAGGAGCATAAAGAACACTTGAGGATCACATTAGAGATGTTGAGGGAAAAGAAACTGTATGCAAAGTTCTCCAAGTGTGAATTCTGGTTAAAAGAAGTATTATTTCTGGGCCACGTGATTTCTGGAAGAGGAGTTGAAGTAGACCCAAAGAAAATTGAGGTAGTGGTAAATTGGGCACCTCCGAAAAATGTTCCAGAATTGAGAAGTTTTCTTGGCATGGCTGGATACTATAGAAGGTTTGTTGAGGGTTTCTCTCGCATTGCTAGACCTCTGACCCAACTACTGCGCAAGGGAATGACTTATGTCTGGAGTAAGGAATGCCAGGAAGCATTTGAGGGGCTGAAGAGGAAGCTTACTACTGCACCAGTACTCACGCTACCATCAAGCGAGGGAGAGTATGCCATTTATAGTGATGCATCATACAAGGGGTTGGGGTGTGTTCTTATGCAAAATAAGAAGGTGATCGCTTATGCCTCGAGGCAATTACGACCACATGAGGTAAACTACCCAACCCATGATCTGGAGTTAGCTGCAGTCGTGTTTGCTCTAAAACTATGGAGACACTATCTTTATGGTGAGACTTTCAAGATCTTCACGGATCACAAGAGTTTGAAACATCTCACGGATCAAAAAGAGTTGAATATGAGACAAAGAAGATGGGTGGAGTTGTTGGGTGATTATGACTGTACCATTGAGTACCACCCTGGGAAAGCTAATGTGGTGGCTGATGCACTAAGCAGGAAGGACCATGGCCCAATATCTGAGCTTGTGGCACTCAGGGCTGTGAATGTGGAACTACAACTGGAGGACGCTACTAGCATGATGGCTAATTTGAAGATTAGACCACTATTGCATGATCGAATTAAGGAGAAGCAAAAGGATGATCCAGTTTTGGCCAAGTTTATTCAAGAGGTACAAGATGGGAAAGATACTAAGTTTGAAATCACAAATGGGATGTTACTCTTCCAGGGCAGAGCTTGTGTACCTAACATAGAGAATTTGAGGCAAGAGATCCTGGATGAAGCTCATTGTGCACCTTATGCCATGCATGTAGGATCGACCAAGATGTACCGGACTTTGCAGGAACATTTTTGGTGGCCCAATATGAAGAGGGAGGCAGCTGAGTTTGTGCACAAGTGTATGGTCTGTCAAATGGTGAAAGCTGAGCACCAAGCTCCAGCAGGGAAACTAAAGCCACTTGAGATACCGGAGTGGAAGTGGGAACACATCACTATGGATTTTGTCTACGGGCTACCGAGGACGGAGTGGGGTAATGATGGAGTTTGGGTAATTGTAGATCGTCTCACTAAGTCAGCACACTTCATCCCCATAAAGTTCAAGCCGGGGGTGGATGCATTAGCAGACTTATACATACAAGAGGTGGTACGACTACATGGAGTTCCTCTAACCATAGTATCAGACCGAGATCCTAGTTTCACTGGCCAGTTTTGGAAGAGCCTTCACAAGGCTTTGGGCACCAAACTTCATTTCTCAACTGCATATCATCCGCAGACTGATGGACAGACAGAGAGGACGATACAAACGTTGGAGGATTTATTGAGGGCTTGTACATTGCAGATGAGGGGATCGTGGGACAAGTATCTCCCTCTGATGGAGTTTGCTTATAATAATCAATACCACAGCTCCCTAAAGGCAGCACCATATGAGGCCTTGTACGGGAGAAAGTGTAGATCTCCCCTATATTGGGATGAGGAAGGATTAAGGCAAATTGAGGGCCCACAACTAGTACAAGATACAGTCGACAAAGTTAAGAAAATACGAGAAAACATTAAAGTTGCTCAGGATCGTCAAAAGAGCTATGCAGACAAGCCAGGAGAGGAGAGGACTCATGAAGTGGGCGATAAGGTATTCTTGAAGGTTTCTCCATGGAAAGGGGTTATGAGATTTGGAAAGAAGGGCAAGTTGAGTCCAAGATACATTGGACCATATGAAGTATTGGAGCGGGTAGGCCCTCTGGCGTATAGGCTCGCACTACCTCCAAATTTGTCCAAGATCCACAATGTATTCCATGTCAACATGCTCAAGGGATACCGATCCGACCCAACCCACATCGTGGAGTTAGAAGATATTCAACTGGATAATGACATGACCTATAATGAGATACCAGTTGGGATCATCGACCGCCAAGATAAGGAGCTACGAAGGAAAAAGGTTCCAATGGTGAAGGTGGTGTGGAGGAACCAAGGCATAGAAGCAGCCACTTGGGAGATCGAGGAGGACATGAGGAAAAACTATCCTGAGTTGTTTCTTGACATACCTTTGTAATCTGTATAATTTGATTGTGATTTGTTGCCAGTAATAAGATATGATGGGTGATGAAAGTGAAGAATCATGAACGTCTTATGCACTCAGTTTCTCAATTTCGGGGACGAAATTTTTATAACGGGGGAGGAAATGTAATAACTCCATTCACGTCTCTGACATGGGGAGTTGGACATTAAATTGGAGGGACATGAGGAGCTGGCAATGGTGTCGGTGCACCCTCCCTATCATGAACCCTTCTCTTCAGTTCAATAAATTAACGATCCTTCTTCCCCCGATCGCCCGTAAATTGCACCATCAAAGCCATTCCTCCCAACCTCAATACCTCCCATCAGTACTGCTAACTCTCAAGACTAGAAGTTCATCCCATCATCATCAAGCTCACTCCCTCCTTCCGTCCGCCAACCTCTAGCTCATCGTCGCCGTCATCGTCATCACCGGAGGAGGAAGGTGCGACCCATAGCTACCAACTTCGTATCTCCCATTCTCTCTCGACCAGTAGGTAAGCAAAACGAATCCCCTCGCCATTCAAGCTTCAAGGCTACATAACTAACAAACAAATGGTCTTTCTATGGCGTAGCTTCGGCGGCGAAAGAGCGGGGTGACCAAACGACGATTCAAACAAGGAACTGAGGTCCTAAGGCTTCCTAGCTAGGCCTAGACTCGTATTAAAGGTAAGGAAGCTCAATCCCTCTCGCTAAAGCACCATTTATGCGAGTTATGTGACTTTGTAGAAATCTGGGAACTTAGTGACGGAATTCCAGGTCTTTAGCAACGGTTATGTGGTCGTCGCTAAAGGCCAGTCAGTGAGTAGAACTACCAGACCTTTTGAGACGGATAGCAGGGGTATTTCGTGACGACTCAATACCCGTCACTAAAAGAGCTGTAGGTTAATAAGTATGAATTATGTATATTTATTTAGTCTTTGATTAAATAGGTATCTTAGTAGTGGATGGACTAAGATAATTAATAATAACTAAAAGTTGATAAAATAGTTTAGTTGAGTTAATTAAGTACTTGATCCAATAACATGATTAAAAAGGCTAGATACTAGGATACATGAAGTAATCGTGGTGATTAAGAGATGTCCATGGTCTTTATCAATTAATGATTTGTGTAATTACTTGATAAATAGTAATTAGTTAACACGTGAGATCTTTGGGGTAAGTTGATAGATGGAATTATTATGTCAATAAAGCATTCTAGTTATAACCGACTCACTATTTGGCTAAACACAAGAGTTTAATTCCTTAATTTATAGCTCTTTCTCTCATAAACGGTAATGGAATAAGTTAAGTAGTGAAGTAGAGGACGTACTAGTTGATTCATTTGATTAATATACACTAGAACATTACTTTTGAATAACTGCACAAGTTATATTTTAGCACGATTAGTTTTCAAATATTTAAATTAACTAAGGCTGCAAGGGTAATAGATTTAAAGAGTTATGATCCTAGTGTGATAATTAATTGGTATATTAGTATATCATACTTTGCACATCTTGCAAAATAGCTCCAAGTCGAGAAACCCGTCGCTAAGAACCCGAATCAAACCGATCTAACCTCTATTTTCGCCATAGGATCAAGAGGCGATCACCCAAGTGAAGGGTACCAATCTTCAAGTTGTAAGCGTCTTGAGTTAATAAGGTGCGTGGTTTAAGGGGGCTAGTTAGTATTCCATTCAGAATTATTTATTACGCATGTTATTCGAGTTAATTGGTATGCCTTATACGATATTTATGTGTCGAGTTATGCGTTTATGAGATTCATGTCCAAGTTTATAAGCAAGTAAGAACATGTTTTAAACCTCACTTAGCTAGCCGCACACGGTCACCTCATGTTATGATGAAGGAGGTTACGAACCCTACTCCTGGGTAATAAGGAGGTTACGAACCCCACTCCTGGGTAATAAGGAGGTTACGAACCCTACTCCTGGGTAATAAGATCATGTTTAAGTATTTCAGTGATCGTGGTGGCGTGCTAGTTAAGTTGAGCTCGGGGCCCCTTTTCGTAAAGAATGTCTATTTCAAGAAAATCATTTACAAGTCCAGTAAATATTTTATGCATGAACATTTGCAACCACTTGCATTTTGCTTCGTTTTATATATATTATGTAAAGAATGGAATTAGGATTAGGACTGACCCCAACGCCCGCATTCAGGAGCTGCTGGAAACCAGGAGCTTGTAGACCACCCACAGGTGCACAGTTGCTGTTCAGGATGTCATCAGAGGGGTTAGTGGCTAAGGAAGCTTCACGAAGAACTTTAAGTTTATGCATTGTTCGTTAGTGGACTTGAGACGGATGTTCGCTTTTCCGGATTAAGAATGTGTTTCCCTTTTAAATTCAGATTTGATTGATGTGATATTTCTACCGTACTTTTCATATTGAACATTTTATGGTTATCAAGGATGTTTTGATAAATTATGTGACCGGCCGGTCTAGGGTGTTACAGATATGATCACCATGTGGCTGTGTCAAAGAACAAAATAATTATACATTTTCTTCTTCCCGTCATATGCTGTGTTGTCATATTACTGCTAACGAGGGCAATGGGTATGAGGGGGCAAAAACGAAAATAATACGTAAACTCAGGAATGTATCAAATGAGACCACCTATCTGGATGAATATAGATGGATCCCAACTGGGTTGGGAAAACTTCATTTGGGACGTTTTCTGAAAGGGAAAAAGATGTCATCTACGGTATCTTTTATTTGGTTCCCTACTCTTCTCATGTTCCTGGCTACACCCGAGGCAACCAGGTTCGCGCTCCTTGTAAACCTGTGGATTCAAAAGGACATCAGCATGGCCTAGTTAGAACTCGTTGCTTATGCCTTTACACATAAACATGTGTAACTTATTGTAATATTGTGTTGAAACTTATCGACTTGCCTAGTTAAGAAGTCGTCAGTTGGAGGCTGCATTGGTTTTGGTAACTGAGGACGAGGGGAGTCATTGCGCCCATCTTTAACACCACATACAACATAAATAAGAGAAATGAGGAGGTGAGATGTACTTTCAACTCAAAATGAATGAAATGAAACTACAGAAGACATGAATGGTTGCAGAAATCGGAAAAGCACTGTTACATATTTCCTCGAATCCAAGGATCCAAACTGAAGAATAGTCCAGGAAGTTTCATACAAAAGATGAACCTATGCCATAGCAGATTCCAACTTCATACTGTCTATATGTAATGCATGTGGAGAGTGAAACACACATTTCTTCTAGTATCAGAAGGATAGCCTTGTGGTTATAGCAGCGATTTAAGGTCCACTTAAGATGGAAGGTACAGCAACATCCAATATAAACAGAAATAGTTTGACACCTTGTCTATGGTGAGCAAGAGCAGGAGCAGGGCCTGGAGCAGAAGCACTGGAAGTCGTTACTTTTTTATTCACTAAGAGCTGCAAAAATAAAAACCGTCAATGGTGAAGTTAGCGATCAAATTCGGCCTTATAAATTAAGAATCTACAGATATACACAGGCGAGAGACAAGAACCCAACTACTTCACATCCTTATCCTGGTTTAGGTCAGGAAAAGGAGAACAACAAACGAACACACTTATCCAAACGAATCATAGCAACTACCTGGAGCAGCAACAAAGAGAGACATGTGAGAGTAATAGAGAAAAACCTCGAGGCCTATACAGACTGGTAAGCGTGTTTTGGACTCTTCTCTGTCCACCAAATGGTCGCCAGTAACATACACAGAATACCCGGCGCAACCATAGTAAAAGTCATGGAGATCCTTTTCTTCATTAGATTGATGCTCAACACCGATATTAGTTCCTGAACATGGAACATTGGCACTTCAGTAAAAACATATTTTATTTTGCACACCGATCAGTAATAGGACTTCCCCCGTAGGAGTGTGTCTCAATTCCAAGAAATTACATTGTAGCGAAACACAAGTGGAGGGTAACAAATCAAGCATGCTCGAACAAGTTCGAAATTTCCAAAGTGAAGGCGATGCTTACAAAATTCAAATTTCAGCCTGTATTGGCATAGACACCAAGAAAGACCCAATTTTTTTTTTGTATCAAAAGTCAATGGTATATGTGACTGAGTTGAAACCACAAGGAAATCTGCGGGAACAGGCAGTGGTATACAGGCTTAAGGATCATCACTTTAACGGGGAGGGACTATTTAAATTTGGAAAGCAAAAGGCGTGGGAGTAGTTACCTGAAGGGAGCGTACGAGGGATGCCGATGCAGCGAGGATTGTTGCCGCTGGATTTCAGAACGGAAGAGTAGTAAAGGTAACCCTTACATGATTTCCCCTCCACACAACCGGCGGCGGCTCCTCCTCCTTCTCCTGGCTTTTGATTGCCGATTTGCTTTGATTTATTGCCGGAAATTCCTTCGCCTCCGTCCAAGTCTTTACTCGGCTCCATACCCGTCGGGGTATTTCTGTTCTTTTCCTGGCCTGGCCTGGCCTTTTTCTCTTCTTGTTTACTTTTGCCCCTACTCCCTCTCCGTCTCCGGTCTTTCTCCTCCAATTTTACCTTTTTGTTGTCAAACCCGGTCAATGCCGGTCAGATCCGGTCAAATCCGGAAATTCCGGTCGGTTAGACCAAAAACCGGAATTTAATATTATCCATATTATATCCAAAAATAAACATCTTCCATAGGATTTGAACCAATGACCTCTTGTTCATTTTAGTTTAACTTATACACAAGTAGGCTACAAGCAATTTTGTTGTCTTTATTAACCTTATATGTTATATATATAATACTAAATTTTACACAAATCATTATAAACATTAATAAAATTTTATTTTTAAGCATCTAATTGTTTAGTATTAGTTATCAATTCTTAGTTATAAATTATTTTGTGTGAAATAATTCTTCTAATTGCTTTTTTATGACTAATTTATTTGGAATTGAGGATTTCCATTTTCCTCATGTATTTTATTAAAACCGGCACAACCGGCATGAATACTGGTTGTACCACGGTCAGACCATTCCACTTACAAAACCGGCGCACCGGCATAAACCGGTTTGACAACCTTGGCTGAATTACATAAATATTGTAAAAACTAAAAAAAATGGATAATTACAAGTTCAAATTATTAAAAAGTTTTATGTTTGTCCTGAAAATATTGTATTCCATTTATATAGTTATTAAAATTATTCCGATAGTTTAAGTGTGGTTAATGATCGTTATCTTGCATCGTCGTTATTTTTTTGGTGACATAACAAACACAATGTCTAATAAGCTAAATTTAGCCCGCCACGTCATAAAAAACCCCAACCCATGACCCAACCCATACAAATTAAAACCGACGCACCATGTCACTAGGTCAAGTAGTCCCAACCTACGACCCGAAGCAATCAAGATTCTCCTCATATTACCTCTCTAACTCTTACGTTTTTCCTTTGTTGCTAATACCGTTGATTTCATCTTTACTTCCTTCTTGTTATTGTTGTTGTTGTTGTTCTTCTTCTTCTTCTTTGTCTCTTCCCCAAAATCAAGAATGGAGTGCTCCACTGTCTCTCTTCTTCTTCTCCTCCTCCTCCTCTTCCTCCTCCTCATCATCATCATCATTATTATTATTCAGCTAGCCATCGATATTAGGACCCTCAGCTTCGGATACTTAAGGGTGTTGGGCTTCCGTTTGAAAGGGTTTTCATCCGAGAAGATGAAAGGAATGGCGACAGTTCCTTCTTCGGAGGCGCTGAAGAGTGTTATTTCATTCTCTCATAAACAATCGGCATAAGAATTGAATATTATGGGGATAGGCCAAACAAATAGAAATGATAAAGCAAAGAAAGTTCTTCTGCGATTTTCAGGCGTTGTCGCGTATAAGGATTTTAGGTTTGTCTGATAGAGGGAAGAAAGAGAGCTAGGGGGAGAAAGGGATTTCTTTCTCAGGTTCTGAAGAGTGTGTGGCTGTTGCTAGGGAAGTCGCCTCTTGCCACATTCCGTCTATGGATCTTTCGAAGGCTCCGGAGAAATCGTGATTTCGCTACTCTTCTGCTCTCTCGCTCAGGAGCCTAGATCTTGGGAATGAATTGGTTTTGACCCAATCCTTCCTCTTCTTCCTCTATCCTTCAGTCAAGTTCACCTCGAATATTGTTCCCCTATGCTCTAGTTATCGTTGTCGCTCAACCACCTAGATCTCCGCAGCCTCAAACTCTCTATCATGGTCGACGACGAGGTCCTCAATAGGAAACCACGTGAGGATTTTAGGGATTAGTTATAGGGGGAAGAATAGACAGAGGTTGTTGAGGTTGACCTATCTTCTCTACAATGACGGAGGGATTGGAACTCACAAAGCAAACAAATACTATCCTCCGCACATTCCACTCCCCCTTCCTCTCCTCCTTCCCAATTTCGCACCCACAACCTCAATCAAACCAAATACCATCCTCCGACTATTGTGGCGACGGATTTGAGAAGATGGAAGAGAAAGTTAGAAATTTTGAGCAGAGAGGATGAAGTAAGTAACCTCCGTTTTGGCTCTAGACGCCTCGGGATTCATGGTAAAGGGCTCTTCTTCATGGTCTTGCAAGACCGTGAAGTTCCTCGGATAGCCGTGAACTGGCCCTTTTTCACCTCTTCACCCAGTTTCCATCCTTTTCGTCCAACTTTCGACTCCAAGGATGGTTTCACCTGATAAACCCTGAAACACACTAAAACACGAGGAACCTAGCATAAAACCAACCTTTTAGTAGTGAAATTAGCACAAACACCTAAGTAAAACGGGGGCAAAACATGTACAATTTGGCCCAAATCACTCACCCACACGTAGACGTTTGCTTGTCCCCAAGCAAACCATTTCACACAAGGTAATATTTCAACCTACACAAATACTTTGGGGACAACTCAAAGGGCACAAAGTGGGAATTTCCAATGGCTATTGGCAATCAATACATGGACCATTGCAAGCAATACCGACATCCACCACAAACAACATTCGAAGACACCAAAAACCGACAAACAAAAAGTTCTCACCTTTATCATGGATCAATGCAAGTCCCAACAAGATCACTAATCAACCACAATCGACCATGCATGGAATTCAAGTCCGAGGAATAAATGGAAAGGCAACAAATGTCCTCACCAGGGTATGATATGACTTGCAAAGCAAGAATGAATCACTCACTCTCAAGACCAGTGGGGTTGGGACCTTTTTGGTGCAAAAGATGTGCACAATCATAAACTCTTGGACCTATCATCTCAATACCATGGTGGTAACCACTAGATGCTAGAGTTCACGGGATGGTTGTCACCACTAGCTCGTCCGAAGGTCTTAGTCACAGGTTCAGATGACTGGCAATTGTCTTGGACATGGGAAAATGGCTTTTTGGGTGGTGGCAATCATGACGTGAGGTTCTACATCTTCAACCTAAACCCGAAGGTTCTATGGTTTCGACTAAAACCCCTCTTTTCAATCCAAGACCACTAGCATCGGCCAAAACCCTTATCTCTCCCTTCCAAATATCACCAATCATGAACTACCTTGAAGCACTCTTCCTCAGTCAACTCTTGCTAGTTATTTAAGGTTTGGTAGTGAAGGAGTTCTAAAACAATGTGGGGTTTTCGATGGCTTGGGTGCCAAGAAACCCTTCCTAGAGCATGTACTTTGGTTTTTCGTGGCACTCTCTACTTTATTTACCCCATTTTATTACCACTTTTTTCGTTTCTCTTTTCTTTCTTTTTCTTTTCTTTTCGAGGGGGGTACTAGAGAGTAAAAATACTTGCCACCTATACATTTAACGATCAATGCTCTCTTTTTGAGGAACTCACTCCAACACTACACTTCATTTTTCTCATCCCTAGCAATGACCGCACACGAACCTCCTATGTAGAACCTCTATGGAAACTCAAAGCCGAGAGCTCCGGGACATAAGGACGACTCATGTTTAGACACGAAGAAAGGAGTGGGGTCGTTCTATTAACACCATTAAGCTCACACGCATGAAGCTCCTAAATTGAGATCGACCCTCGAAGTCACAAGGCTCAAAGGGGTTGACTAAAGGATGACACATTTTGGGACGATCAACATTTGGGCATGAACTAATCCTCTACCTCCATCATACTTACTAGTGACAACTTGTGATGCTACACACTGTGGTAAGAGGGAACAATCACACTGGAAGAAAACGATCGGCTCAAAGCTCACAGGCTACCTAGTTACCCAGCCATCTATTCCAATTCACAAACACGATGCATGGTAATTGTTAGCAACAAGTGATCAAGTCAAGACATCCATTCATTTATGCACACTTGAGAACTAAATTTTTGCCCTATCTTAATGAACTTCTCAATCATCATCATAGGATATTCGATCACATGCAACAATTCAAGATCAATGCCAATAAACACGAAAATTTCCCACCATCCGGCCACTTTGCTCATGCAAACATTGCTTGGAGCCCTCAAATTTTTAAAATTTGGGCATACAAAAGGCTCTAAGCATTAATCACACTCACACAAGCGTACTAGTAAACTACCCCCCCCCCTCCCACTTAAACTCAACATTGCCCTCAATGGTGTAAGAAAGGGGTAGAATGATGTTACTGCTTGGGCTTGGTGAGTGAAAGTTGGAATCGAACCGGGGCAGGATAATTTATCTTTAAGGAGAGACAAAAAACACTCACAAACACAATACGACTCGCTCGAGGCGAGGTTATTACAAGCACAATACATAGTAGTAGTTTATGTCACACACTCACAGAAAATGAAGGAAACTAACAAAATAAAAAGAATCAAGTTCAGGGTTACAAGTAGAGAAGTGGGGCGAAAGGACTCCACTATGCCACATGTCTCACTCGTCGACTACCTCTCTCCGGTGGAAGGACCATCTCCAGAATCGGGTAGGATACGCTGGCGTCGAGCCATAAGCTCGAGGATGTCGGTGTGCCGGTCAAGGCAAGATGAGGAGACTGGGTATGACGTTGGTTTTGGGTTTTGCTCGCCGGAAATAGGGGAAAATCGAAAAACCGACGGATTTTTGCGTTCTCCCGCAAAGATATGAAATTTTCGGGTCTAGTGACTGTGAACTCTCAAATGCGTCCGTGAACTGAAACACTCTAACCCGGCCGGGTACTACTTTTACTAAAATGCCCTTGACAAATAAAATACTCAAATCTTAAATTTCAACGGGAACAATTTTCATAAATAAAATACTGAAACACACTTGCAGTTCAAAGCAAAACCCTAACACGTGGGCAAATTAAACTCAAACTTTATAATCTCAATCTGATCTCAAAATAATCTCCAGTCTGTACTCATAATCATAAATGTAAATAACTAATAATCTCTGAAGTTGTTGCTACTGAATTCTTTGACTAAGCATCCACCGGGACGCTTATACTGCTCTCCTCTAGCTGGCTGCCCTCGAACTCGCTGCTCCAAAACTGCTCCTCTAGCTCCTCAAACTGGTGAGTGAGATGGGGTCAGTCTACGCCCTTACGCTTAACA